TGGAGCGCACAGGTTCGCCTGTTCCACAGCAAAGAATTAGACCAGGGACACATGCTTACAGATAGAAATAGAGACAGTTTATTAAGAATGGGAGAACAGCTGGGCGGTGGCGGTGCACACCTTTAATAACAGCACTTAGGAAGGATGGGCAGGTGGATCTCTGTGAGTTCAAGGCCAGCCTTGTCTACAGAGGGAGTTCCAGGAAGAAAAAACAAACAAACAAAAAAAAAGCAAAAACAAATAAACAAAAAAGGTGGTGGTGGGGGAACACCCCTGAGAATGGAAGCCCCCAAAGTCCTGGGCCATAAAGTCCTATAAAGGTCATTAAAATAGCATCCTCCAAAACCCAGAGAGGGAAGGGCTTCTAATCTCTTTCTCCTTCCACACCAGGAGACAACTAATTGTCCCTCTGCCCTAGCCATCTGAGAAGTCTCTGTGCTTTTCTCTTCCTTGGAGTTCAAGGTTCTATCTGGGACCAATACATCAAGACCAAGTCCTTCCTAATAGGGCTACAGGGGCTGCATTTCATTGGCCCAGCAGGCATCTTCTCAGGTTCCCAGCAGCAGTGGGGGAGGGAAAAGAGAAAGGGGGGGGGTATAGAGGGGAGAGGAAGAGAAGGGAGTGGGGAGGGGAGTGGAGCTAGCCAGACTTTGGTTCTTTTCAAGCCATCAGGAGCTGTGCTCAAAGGGGTCACAGTCCAAGCCTAGCAGGGAATCCCCATCCCCACCTCCAGGGACTGGGAGAGTGTTTGAAAAGCCCTTGCAGGAGCATTTCAGGGGCACAGGCATTTTTGCATGGGTCTCCTTTTGCTATCTTGGTGGTGTCGGTTTGTTCCAATATCCAGGAGCAAACTCAGCAAGCATCCCATCATTAAGTTACATGTCCAGCTCTCACTACTATTTTTTTTTAAAGGTACTTTAACAGAGGGGTAATTCTGACAACTTGTCAATTGGCTAGCTTCCCCCTCCCCATCCCATCCCACCCCACCCAACCCTCACACACACTTACACCCTGCTTTGTCTGTTCAGCTCCAGCAGCAGCAGGACAAGCAGAACAAAAGACCTCAGGCTCTTGTGGACAGTGGACCACTTTATTGAACACAAGCGAGCAGATGGCAGATTTCAGCTTTCGATTAAGCCTCTTAGCGGAAATTCTGTGGAAACGCTGAAGGAGAGGGGTGGGAAGTTCAAAGGGAGAGGATGAGAGGAAGTGCTTTGTGTGGGGAGAGAGATGAGGGCCCCAGAGGAGGGAAGCAAAGGGACCTGAGCCTTTGCTGATAACCCTCTCAAAGCCAAGCCCAGCTCACACCGCAATCTGGGAAGGAGGGCCAAGAGCTCGGAGCTCTGCAGACCTGAGTCACAAGCTAAGTGTGAAGTGTGCTGCTCGCTCACCATGGGGCCTTGCATCACTTTTCCATCCTAAACATCAGTTTCTGTGCTCTCCAAGTCAGAAACTCAGTGTCCACCTCCAGGGCTCTTATGGAGAATCGTGTCCAAGAGCCGGTGTGGAAATATGGACCATAGCCAGACACAGACACATGGATAGTGTTTCCATAGTCCTTTCCTTCTCCAAGCACCAGAAATAGCCGACTGGGTTCTGACGCTTGGCCTGAGCCAAGGGCTGTTAGCCACTCCCCAGAGGGATCAGGAACCTTCTCCAGTTCTGCTCCCTACAAGGGAGGCCCCTGCTCCGGGAAGGTCTGCTGCAGGATCAAATGCCCCCTGACCTTTGCCTCTTCAGAATGGAGTTGTGTTGCAATCCAGGCGTCTGGGGTGAGTGAGGGCAAAACTAAAGGCCACAGGCAGCCTTCCAGAAAGCCCGACTTCCCCCAGCTTTTCAGAGGCCTCTTCCCTTAGAAGTTCTTGAGCTCAAGCCCAGCTAACAGATGACGGTGGGGCTTTTAAGGGTCTCTCTCTCTCTCTCTCTCTCTCTCTCTCTCTCTCTGTGTGTGTGTGTGTGTGGGGGGGTGGATTATGCATCTGTGTAAGACGTGTACATGTATAGATGTGTGTACGTGTGTGCACGTGTGTGTGTGTGTGTGTGTGTGTGTGTGTGTGTGTGTGCGTGCAAATGAACGTCAAGTGTCTTCTTCAGTTGCTTCTCTGTCTTATTTTTAAGACATATTCTCTCACAAAACCCGGAGCTCACCTATTCAGCCATACTGCTTTGCTGGCAGACAGCAGGATCTTTCTGTCTTTATCTCCCCGACACTGGGATTACAGACTTGAACCATCACACCGGTTTTTGTTTGCTTGTTTATTTTGTTGTATGTAGATGCTGAGGATCCAAACTCAGGTCCTTCGGTTTTCACAGTCAGTACTTCACTGACCAGGCCACGCCCCCCGGCCCCTTGGGGGAACTTTTGAAAATAAAAGCTGGGACCTTGTAACTCATTTGCATCCCCTGGTCTCCAGGACAAGCAGAATCTCCCAAATTATCGAATCATTCTTAATATTGAACTCACAAACTCAAAAGCCCCAGGGCGCTTGGTTCATACTTGTTTAAATCAGAAAGGAAAGTAGTATTTGATTTCAAAATTGATTTTGAGGCAAACAGGTTCTCTCCAAGACCACATTACTATCCTGCCTGCTTCTCTCCAACATAAGCCTGTGCACACATGTGTACAAGCACACACACAAACACATGCGTGCACATGCTATCTCTTACATGAACACATGCCATCCTTCAAGAAAAATCTTGATATAGACCAGTCTTTTCTTGTTTTTTCGCCAAACACACACACACAAAATTAATATATAAGAAACTGATAAGTATTCATATAATAGAATGGCATTTTAATCACCAGGCCCCAGCACTCCACTACCCCTTGAAAATAAAACATACCATTCTTCAATTATAAAATCACTAGTCACAAGTGAAGTTAAATTCTTCCTAGACACAATTTGTAGAAAAATTAAATTCAGTTGTATTAAAGATCCACAAGTTAAAATGCATCAATAAAAATATTCAAAAAAGAAACTTAAAAACTTTTGGAACTAGGAAAAATGAAACATGAAAAAAATCAGATATGCTATTTAAAAAAGCAACAGAAAGACTTGATCATGTAAAATGAAAACCTGAACAAGATACAATCAAAACTATAAATACAAGGCTACATAAAGACAAATGTAAATAGAACCCCAAACCCACCCAATTATAAGGAAATATTTATTAAAATGTAAAATGTGCACACCTTCTAACCTAGGAATACTCTTCCCGAGGACTTCTAAGGCTAATTTAAAAATTGCCAGTGTACAAAGCCTTTGTCTCTACTTAACAAGACATTTTTCTTGGTGATGAAATTAAGAACATTAAGAACAACTTAAATGTCATCCAGAAGGTGCTTCAGTAAAGACATCATTTCAGAACCTGGGTTGGGGAACATTGAGGGACTGAGAAAGCCATGCTTCAGTTTTCTCATCTATAAAATCAAAATCATAGTGGTGCTTAGGTCACACACATGGTTATGCAAATTTACAGTGCGAGGTCAAAATCAGAAGTAGAGACATAAAGATCCTCAAGGTATACGTGGGTGCATATTTATTTGAGTATATTCATATCATCAAAGGAAAAAATAGGAAGAAGTTAAACATGACATTTGAACACAGTCACTGCTTTTGGAATTTATGTAACTAAAACCAAAAAAGAAGACCAAAGGGGAGAGAGGAATCAGCAGGAAACATGAACAGAGTATTGTCACTAAAGACAAACACTGGTGGTTAATAACCACAGCAAGGAAAAGGCAGAGTCAGGGAAGAACCTTCTTAAGTTGAAGCCGCTTCGGCTTTATATGATGCCCTCTGCATTCAGAATAACCAAGCTGGGGCTGCTGCAGATACCCAGCAGAACAGGCACCTGAAAGAGGGCATGTGCCTGTGTTTGGAGACATGTGGGGTAGTGGGGGCCATGAGGTAAAGGGAGGACACGGAATACAGGGGTGGGGGGAAGAGAAGCTAGACGTTGTAGATGAAATAAATTCCTTCAGAGGGGTCAGAGAAAGCCTTGGGTTATAATCCTGCCCTTTGCACTTATTATCTATGGAGTTCAAAATGACTTTGTTGTAAACCAATCTCTTCGTCGAAAAAATCAGTAAGTGAAGCAATGAGCTCACGTTCACACCAGGCCTGGGACTAAGATCTCTCTCTCTCTAAGATCAACTTCTGGCCACCTTGTGGGTGTGGAGACCCTTCCTCCCTCTTCCTTTCTCCCATTTCTCAGGACACTGCAGTCTATGCCTGCCCCAACCCCTTCCTTCCGTGCCTTAGTGCGGCGGAAACTCTGGTCATAGGATGGTCAATATCTTAACTTAGCCTGGCCCACCTGCTTGTGACTTCCCATTTATTGTGATACAAATTCCTTCTGCACTGAAATGATCTTACCCCTAGCCAAAAGAAAAGTAAAGGCATTCTTTCAAGCCTTCAAACACACACACACACACACACACACACACACACACACACACACACACACACACGACAGGAGGGGGAGAGAGAGAGAGAGAGAGAGAGAGAGAGAGAGAGAGAGAGAGAGAGAGAGAACTAACTTTTTACTCAGCACAATCTTCCTAAATAAGAATCCAAACTTCACATCGGATCCTGTACAAAAGTTCCGTTACAACAGAAAGAAAACTCCCAACACCAAAATGGTAGGAGAATATAAGTGTAGGTATTTAACATTATCAAAAAGAGTATATTTAAACTATATTGACCCTTTCAAATACCTTTAAAAGACACGGGACAAAATAAAATGTCTCTTGGCAAAAGCTGAGAGTCACTGTAGACATGGCCAGACTATCGGGAAGTATCCTGCTTGCCTGGCAGGTGAATGTCCCAGCAGCTCCAACAGGTCAGATGGAAGTCCTGTTCACCCGTTCAACTCAGCAGATCACCAGATTGCCACACTAAGTGTCCACAGATAACTGTGCTATTGTCCTGGAAGACAAGTTCAGGGTCTTCAGAACTCCTCTAGGTCTGTTCACAAGTCTGGAACCGGTAGGATTCCCCAGTGGGCAGGAACTCACACGCTCTGGGGCCTGGGCTCTCTCCCATCGCCGTTGAGGAGGTCTGTAAGCTCCCCGATGTACTTGATGGTGTACTTGAGTGTCTGGATCTTGGTGAGCGGCTGGCCTCTCTGGCTGTAGACAGGGGGCAGGTAATTCCGGAGCGTGTGCAGGGCGTCTGCCAAGGTCCGCATCCGGAGTTTCTCCCTCTCGCTGGCCTTGCGTCTCCGCTGGACAGACATCTTGACTTTGCTGCCCTTCTGGCCTTTGAGACCACCAGCGGCTTGTAGGTAGGCAGGTTGGAAGGCTAACATGCTGTAGTCCAGCTCTACTAGGTCACCAGCCCCATGGCTGCTGTAGCCATCGCCGCCCCCAGGGCTGGCCCCACTGTGCCCGCAGGGCAGTGCAAGCCCAGAGTAGGACTCCAGAGAAGGAACTGGGGAGAGGCTCTGAGTGGGGGATGCCTGGCTCAGCTCCAAGGGCCTGGCTCGGCTCTTCCAGTCCCAGGAAGCCAGCAAGCCAACGGTGTCCGAAGAATCAAGACCATCCTCCAGGTTGAGGAAAGGCTCTCCCAGGTTGTCCATACCCCCGAGACAGCCGTGGAAGGACTCCTTGGCAAATGTGCAAGAAAGTTCTGCTGCCCTGGCCAGAGACCAGCTCTCTTTTATGATGGTAGGGAATCAGGGACAAAGTGGGAAAGGGGCCCCTGGTGGAGGGAGTTCAAAGGAAGACCCAAGGACCAAGATGGAAGATGAACTCCTCAGGTGTCACTTTCTCCTCGTTGATAATTAGCATCTTCCAGCTAAAATGTCTTTAAACAGACCGGCCTCCAGGAGAAGAAGAAAGGAATTATCTTGTTGTAACTAAACCAATTAAGTCTGCATAACCAGGTTTAGCATCGTCCTGTGGAACTCATTAATGGGGAGCCAGAGAAAACAAACCTGGGCTCTGCAGCAAGGAGGGGCTCTTGGAGAGCCTTTGGGCCAGGAGGGCTAGCCCCCTCCACCCCACCTCGGGGATATTTTAGAGTAGATGGGGTGATAGCTGGAGAAGAAGCATGGGGTTGGGACAAAGCAAGTCCTTTGAGCTTTGATTCTCTCCTGTGTCAAATGCAGGCAATAATGGCTCCTATTCCCCAGGGCTGGCATAGGCTAGCACACAGAAGGCTCTGTTGGATGTTCACTTCTTTCTATGGCTCCACTTTAGTTAACTGCCCCAGGTTTTGCAAAGTACCTACCCACAGAAGAGCAAACCAGCCCATCCAGTAATCTGGGAGCCTTAATGAGCAGGGAATAAAACCCTTGCTTTAAGTGATCACACTGGAATCCCCGTAGCAAGCAGACATCCATCAGACGACAGAACATTCCTGAAAGCCAGGAACTACTTGCAAGTGTACCTGGCTGGCATTCAGCCTGATGAAGTTCTTTAAAAAAAAAAAAAAAAAAAAAAAAAAAAAAAAAAAATCCAGCTGCCTGGTCACACCTCGTTTTTTGAAATGTATAGAGGACGTGTGAAATTAACAAGAGAGTCATTTTTCCCCCACCACCTCTCCAAATGCCACCAAATGTGTTAGGTTGGATGGCCTTGCTAGTTAGCTTCATTTCCTACATGCTGCCATAGACACTCACTTTGGAAACGGAGTTCCAGATGCCCCCATTTGTCCCAGGAACGGAACTCATTCCCCACGCAGCCCGGTGTGGGAAGGATTATCAGTGTCAGCATTGCCCCTAGTTTCGAGTCGATTCGTCCTTTAACATGGCTCTTTCAGCCCTCTGCGACGGTTGGAAAGAAATGTCAAGGACCTAATTAGAACACTTGTGGTATTTTTTTTTTTAATTAGCCAGGCTCAGGAAATAAACATCTGAAGCATGTAATCTGGAGAAAAATGCACTCAGCTTTACCATTTTTGCAGAAGGACACTGTGCCAGGTCCTGGGCAACAGTGCTAATGAAACAGGGTCAATGTATTACATTATTCCTCCTGCTTCTCACTCTCCCTCAGAAGCCCAGAGTGCAGTGAGCTTTTTCCAAGAACTTTTCCTGTATTATAATAATTAACCGTCAGATTTAAAAATTCCAACATCGTACCCATAAGAAGGCTGAGGTTCCTAGAGCTTAAGAGACTTGGTTGCAACCCTAACAGGAAGTAGCACACTCAATAGAAAGTGGCAAATCCCTGTAAAACTCCCAACACCCATCATTAAAAAAAAAAAAATGAACACTTCCCTTATGTCAGTCTGTTGTGAGAGAGGCAGGTGACAGGTATGTGACTTAAGGGCACAGGGTGTTTCAGGTGGCCACCACCGGAGTCATACTATGATACCATTTCTGTTTCAAACTTCCATGTTTCATGCCGGGCGGTGGTGGCGCACGCCTTTAATCCCAGCACTCGGGAGGCAGAGGCAGGTGGATCTTTGTGAGTTCGAGGCCAGCCTGGGCTACCAAGTGAGTTCCAGGACAGGCGCAAAGCTACACAGAGAAACCCTGTCTCGAAAAACCAAAAAAAAAAAAAAAAAAAAACTTCCATGTTTCTTTTGCAAATCACTAATTTCTTAAGCTTCTTCTTCTTGTTGTTGTTACAAATTTTCTTTTCTTTTGTTGTTGTTGTTGTTTTGTTTTGTTTTGAGACAAGGTCTTGCTGTGTAGCCCTAACTGTCCTGGAACTCTCTCTATACACCAGGCTGGCCCCGAACTCAGAGATTCACTTGCCTCTGCCTCCCAGTGCTGAGATGAAAGGCGTGTGCCATCATGCCCAGGCCAAATTTCATCTTCTAAATGAGAAAATGCCCACTAAATCTTTGCTTCACGTGGGCAGGGAATGTAGCTCAATGGGCAGAATGCTTGCCTGGGATTTCTGAGGCCCTGAGGTTGAACCCTCAACATGGCAGACACTATGTTTGCAGACACTTGGTGATCCCTGCACTGAGGAAGTGGAGGCAGGGGGATTAGAAGTCCAAGGTCCTGTTCAACTATACATCAAACTCAAATACAGCTGAAGATACATGAGACCACATCTCAAACAAAACCAACAGCGGTCTTTGGTGCATTGTAGACACTTGGAGTTGGTTTAGTTATCACGGTCACTTGTCATAGTCATGCCATCAGTACGAGCAACTCAGTGCCATGACTGTACCACCTCTGACCCGAGTCTCTAACAATGTTGACCCCAAAAGCGTATTATTAGAAGGAGGAAGTGACCTAGCCTCCATGTTCCTAATGTGCACTTTTCCCCTCTGATAAGGCAATGCTGGCCCAGATTCACACTGGCCTGGCCTGTCTCCATGAGTCATTCATTGCTCAATCTGAAGAAAAGGAAAAGGTGAAACACAATGTGGAACCCCTAGAATTGGAGGATCCACGATACTGGTCCCCCCCCCCTTTTTTTCCATCATGTGTTCTAAAGCAGAAAACACATTCAGTCTAGATGGGACCCAAAAACACTAGTGGAAAAATGTGCTGGAGAGAGAGAGGGTGAGCCATGATTCTCCTCCTTTAGAGGAAATGTCCTACTCTTTCATGGTGTATGTGATGTAATTTGGAAAATGGAATTAAGACCTGACTTGTCTTCTATGTGAAGAGCTTCTATCTAACTCCTTCCTGGCTCTAAAATATGATGAACCCTGCCTGCTGGAGTGTGAATAGACTTATTTCAAAGAGTACCCTAACAGCAGGAAAGCCCAGGGAGCACCGAGTCCGTAGTTCCATCTGCACCCCAGGGAAGGCCAGCTGTACTCAGTGCCACAGCAAAAGGTTGTGGCAGGGACGGGAACAGGAGACCCAAAATTGCTTGTCTTCAAGATCCATCTTTTTTCTTTTCTTGGAACTGGTGTGGATTACGTGCTAAGTTTTCATCCCAAGTAGACTGTAGACTGCCTGTTTCCCACAGAGTGAGCTACTGGGATAAAGTGTTAGTATTTAATTTAATGTCCACTACTCATCTAGCATTTATAAGTGACGGTTGACTATGATCATCACAGACTACCTTAATATTTCCAAGGTTAATAAAGAGAATAATAGTCTCACTGTGAAAATTATCCATTTCAATGCAGTGACATTTCCACGCTAGGTTGCACCAGGCAAATTATCATGAAAGATGCAACACCTGTCCCATGAGAAACAGCACAAAACACAACTTACATGTATTGTCCATATCATACAGTGTTCCCACCTTAGAATCTGCGTCATGCATGCAACACAACCACTAGCAATAACTACAAGGTACAAAGCTTGATTCGAAGGCTACCCTCTCCAAGATGCTGTTCCTGCCTGTGCCAGACCTCAAGTCTCTGCCATTCTCCACCGAGCAACCCTTGATTTGGCCTCATCTTCCTGCCTGCCATCCTGAAAGTGTATTCCTATAGATCTGGGTTTCTATTTGGCTCATGCTGTATGTTATTCACTGTGCTGGGTGCTAAGGACAGAAAGTAAGTTAAACGGCCTTCTGTCTTCAGCAAACGCATAGACCAAATGAATAAGCATCTCCTTGACTCCTCAAAGCATGCTAAGATCTAACAAAGTAAACAAGCATACATTCAATGAATGTGATTCTGGAAAACTAATCACGTCTGCGAGGAATATCAGTACCACCAGTCCTGCTCTGTAAAGGAGAAACTGAGATGCAGAGTTACTCAGGAGCTTCCCCGACATACGACACCTGAAGTCGGATATTCCCGGGGTTAAAGCTGACTCAAGTCTAGCTGGTCATCCCTGGTGTCGCTGCTTCCTGGGAGACAGCTGGAGGCATCAGACTGGCAACTCCTGTCGAGCTGTTGAGCCAGGCATCCAGACTCGAGAGGGAGCTTGGATAATATAAGAAGACTAGCCTGTGTTCCCACAGCAGGTGTAGAAGGGACACCAGGCATGAATCAGTGCCTGAACACTGTGAGAATGGGACAGACACGTAGCGGTCCCCCTCCCGGCCCACAGTTTCATTTCTGAGGGTGCAGTCACCCATCATTAACTATGATTCAAGTGTATTCCAAGGAAAATTCTAGAAATAGACGCATCTTAAGTTTCAAATAAGTACTATTTACATTAGTATGAAGAAATATGATACCATACCACTGTACTCCACCTAGAACATGTGACATCTTTCACTTCATCTCATTACATTGTATCATCTCACATTATCACAAGAAGAGGGGTAAAATATAGTACAATGTGATATTCTGAAAGAGAGAAAACACATTCACTTTGAATTACAGTATAATATAATATGTTGCTTATTATACTATATTGTTATACTTTATTTTTCCAGTTAATACTCTTAATCTCTTACTGTGCCTAATTTATACATATAAATATAATCTTTAACATAGATATATAGATGGGATAAAAACATGTATTTATAGAGTTTGTACATACAGAGTTTGGTGATATCTCTAAGGTCTCAGACATCACTGTGTTATTGAAACACATCTCTAGACAACTGAGGAGACTGTTAGAGTCAGTTTGGCTGTCCATATTCCTAAATTACATCACTGGATAAGTCATGCACCTGCACAGTTACTAACAGACCTAACTTTTGACAGTCTGATGCAAGTGTTGTATGTATGTGAGCCACACTGTTCCTAGACCATCCTTATGGTAATCCACGGTGTGA